TTTTGAGATAAGTGCCGTGGCTATAAAGGTAATTGTGGTAATTGTGATTATGGTCGTATACTCGTATTTTAGGGGTTTTGGTTTGATTTTTTTTTTAAGTAATATAAATAAATACCATGTAAATTGTTTCTAAACCTATAATTTTAAAAAAAATGTAACAATTATTGAGACAAGGTAAATGAAAATAAATAATCTTTAAATTTTTAATTTACAAAAAAAATGGTTATTATTATAAGACAAATAAAATACCAAGATCAATTAATTTGAGTGAAAGTAACCCGATTTCTTTTAAATAAAGTTTTAAATTCTAATTTTTTAAATAGAAAAATAGATATTTAGAGAGTTTCTCCTTTATGGTTAAGATGTGACTCGATTTCGGATTAATTAGAATTCAATGTAATTATCGAAAGCTAAGAGATCAATATTAATAATAAATAAATAAAGTAATTTTTTATTTATTTTGAATTAAAAAATAATAATAAATGATATTAATTATAAAAAAGGGATAAAAATTCAAATATATTATTGATTTTAAATTATTTATTTTAAATCAAATAGTTGAAAGGCAAAGGACAAAAAAATAAAGTTGAGAGGGCAAATGCAAATGCAAATGCAAAAAAAAAAAAAAACCCGATGAAGTTAAATAAGGTACAGAATTAAATATAAAATTTTAACAACAAAACAATTATCCTCCAATAAATAATATTTCTAAAGTAAATAGTTTTTTTTTATATATAAATAAAGTAAATGAATTTTTTGTTTTAAGAAATGTGTTTTACATCATTCATTTCTTCACTATAATGTGGGTAGTAAAATGAGTAAGCTGCATTTATCTAATGCTTTTATATATATACATAATATTTATATATAATATAATGTAGTATTAATAATTTAAATAATTTAGTGAAATTTTTTTTTTTCACGATATGAGGTTGGATAAGGGATGAAAAATGATTATTTTTTATTATGTAATCAAAATAAAAAATAATAATAATGTAATAATTAATTAAGTTTTTTAATAAAATTAAAATTAAAATTTTTTAATTTTTTATCAATTGCCGTGACATCTTAATTTTTTAAAATTTTTTATTAAAACACATAATATTATATGTATTTGTTGAATACAATATTATGCCAAAAAAAAAATATCGTGCATGTAGCATTTCTGGCCACACG